AAAAACTGCTCGATTTCGCCGCGTGTTCTGTCCATGGCAGTAGCGAGCAAATGGGTCATGTGAATCGGGATTTCCGAGGCGATTTCGGTCCCATCGGGGAAGCCGTGGACATGAGGGACGGCGACAGGGGAGAAGACGATGAGGTTTGAGTGGAGGACGAGGTGTTGGAGCTGGAGGCGAGCTTTGTTGGGCACCAAGAAAGTGATTCTATGGCCTCTGGAAGCGAGCTCGTTAGCGAGGTGAAGGTAAGGGTTGATGTGGCCCATGGCAAACCATGGGAACATGGCTATGTGAAAGCTTGACGAGCTCGTCTTTGGAGGCTGAGACACTTTTGTGGGTTGAGCTAGCTAGCCAGCTCTGGGCAACTGTGGCACTGTAGATACGTTTGGGTCAAGACATCTCAGCTGATGAGACTATTATTTATGCATGTTTTTGGTTGGTGGTCCTGTGCACTTATATATTACTATTTACAGCGACAATATTGGTAAAAGCGTTTGACCCAGTTGCTGACGAGTCCAATTTTTCTATTACGAAGATTTTGTGAAATATGGCACACAAGTTAACACTAATTTAACTCCGTTAATTTTCTTCGGCTTTTAAAAAAAAATTTAAAATATATTAAAATACATGTTTGACAAAAGAAATTAAAGTATAATAATAACATCTCAACGCCCACACATCGAACTTCAACAGACACCCAGCACACAACCACCAACCCACCCTAGCGGTAACCCCTTATCCTCTAGAACGCAGCCAAGGCTCCCTTTCCCCCTCTTTCTCATCAAATTTCTATGTATTGGGACTGCAGATTAGTTACATATAGAGTATTTGAGCTAATGGGCTTGCAAAATATGGCCTAACACTTCATCTAGGCTGAAATGTGATTGGAAACTTATTTTTGTTTGTTGGGCTTATGCCCCAAAGACATTTAATTGTGCAAGTTAGGCCCTCAACCATATTTTAATTTTGTTGGTCATGCTCTCTCAACCATATTTTATTTTTTTGCCAAAATTAAGAAAGGGAGGGGAGAAACTCACACACACAGGTACCCTATGTTGTACGGACACGAATACGGGGACACAAATATGAGACACGGGGACATGACAATTAATTTTTATTATTATAATTATATTTTTATATATTTTTAAAAATTAAAATATTGATGTTCATATTCCAATTTTACAATACCATATATAGTAAAATTCAAGGTTTTCAAGCATTTCAAATATAATTTATTATTTTTATATGAATTATAATTGAATTAACATATTAATTTACCTTGAGTATGAGTTAACCAGTGCCTAAAGAGTGTTTTGACCATGTATGGGGACTATCTTAACTATAGACACGGGTGTCCCAGAAGTGTCCAAGTGTCCGACACTCCGATACTTAGGCTTAGTAGAGTGTTCGTGCAATATAGCGGATACTATGGGAGCTTGAACTTAAAATCACTTAGAGCATGTCCAGCGCTATGCAATAACCCGGGCAAAAGGCCCCCCAAAGCCCAGTTTCGCACTCCAGCGCAGCAACTGCAGCCCGGGCAAGCCCTGGGTCCCACCAGCCCGGGCAGGCCCAAGGGCAAGTTCTGCCTGGGCTTCAGCCCAAGTTTTGTGACGTCAACGCGCAGAAATTCAAATTTTTTTTACTGTTGTGCCACGTGTCGCGACAGGAACGCTCTGATCTTTTTTTTTTTCCAGAAATCCGACGGTAAAATTGCAAAAAAATTCGAAAAAATTCTGAATTTTTTTTAAAAAAATACCAAAAAATTCTGTATTTTTTCCCTATAAAATACCTAACCATTTTATTTACTTTCCACACCAAATCTTCATACAATTCTTCTTTATCCAATATTTTTTAGTCTCCACTCACATTATTCACTTTCCACACCAAATCTTCATTCAATTCTTCTACATCCAATATTTTTTTATCCAAAAATTTAATTACAAAAGATTATCAAAATTAATGGTTTAAAGTATAAAAAAATAAGAAATGAAGTACAATGAATAGTATTTGCCTTTTACTTGCCCTAGACCTTGCCCTCATGGGTGGAGTTGCAAATGACAAGGCTGACACTATTCACGTGAATAGTGGCAGCCCTTGCTTGCCCTTGCCTTAGACTTAGCCCTTGTGGGTGGAGATGCTCTTAGGAGCACACTAAAGGCATGGGTAGCCTCAACCATATTTTGGGGGGAAGTAAAATAGGACATAGAGAGAGAAGAGGACTACTTTTTGTATATATTCAACACCAAAAACACCAAAAGAACCTTAGCTGTCATATAATGGGGAGAAAAATATTGTGCACCTCTCTATAAACAAAAGCCCATCACATGGGGAGTGCGCTGGCATGACCCTGTCATTGACATAAGCAATTAATCCTTCTTCATATTTTCCTAGTTGTATGTATTGACTTAAATGCCACATTCCCTGCTTTCAATCTGAAATCTTTTATCTCATCCCTTTTGTAGGGCAAATCATGAACCACCTTGTCCAAATGCATTTTAACATTAAAATATGCCTTGATTCCCAAAGCACATGGTTCCATGCCCCACACATGGCTTCCCCAGTCATCCCAGCTAGCTGTTGCTCACAACTCTAATTTTTAATTCTCTTGCATCTTGATTTAAATAGGTACAAATACAAGAACACAAAAGTGGGTGTTTTTTAGTTGTGTGGAGCCATGGAGCCTATTGGTGATGACCAAGTTGAGCAATCTTCAAGCAGGAAGGAGAAAAATGTGGAGGAAGCAAATCATCTCTTGGAAGAGTGTTGGTTTTTTGACAACTTGCTCAACAGGAAGCAGAAGATGTTGAGGTGTTATTCTGATCCTCAATGCAATTCATCAAACTTTGGTCAAGAAATGTCAGTGAAGAGTTCACATGACCAAAAGTCCTTGTTGACAACAAGTAAGGCCACACAAGGAAATGGCTTTGCTGGTCCTAATTTGGTTAGAACACCATCTTTGCATCTTCATATAGGGAGGAGGCAAGAGGAAGAAGTTCAAGTAAAGCAAAGTGGTAGTAATAAGAGTTTGAGCAAATTGACAAGGCAAACATCACATCAGAAAATGCTGCAGGCACCAACCAAATCACCAGCTTGTATAGGCAGGACAGAAGGAGTTCAAGATAAGGAAAGTGATAACAGAAGAAGCAAAATGAATGGGCAGCCAGTGCGCCAGAATTTGCTCAGGACACCCTCCTTGCCACCATGTATAGGAAGGGAAGAGAGCAACCAAGAAAGTGTTCCTCAGAGACATAAGGTACTAGCAATAGAATCCCTATCTTCGTTCGTCAATTTATTTGATTACAATTAGATGATTACTTCATTTCCCATTTCGCTGAATTTTTGTATGGTTGATCATGAAAGTACATTGGTGTATTTGAAAATTTGTGTTAAGAATCATAGGTTATATAAGAATTAGAACTATATGCTTATAATGTTGTTACATTTGAATATTGCAGGGGCTCATGACACAAAGTTCTAGCATTCCAAGATATAGACCACCAAAAAACACAGAAGGGGAAAGCAATGCTAGTACAGATGGGTGCAAGGAAATGAGACGCAGAAGCCTTAACCAGTTAACCGCGAGAAAGAGCCTAAGTGATCTTGAGATTGAAGAGCTGCAAGGGTTCAAGGACCTGGGATTCACATTTGACAAGAAAGAACTGAGCCCCAGTGTGGTTAACATACTTCCTGGTTTGCAAGAAAAGAAGGGAACAGAGGATTTGAACCCAGAAAAGGTTAGGAGGCCTTATCTTTCTGAAGCATGGCTGGTGCAAAGCTGTGCTCCTCCACCTCCAAACTTGGGTGCAAGTAGGTCTGCTGAGGACATGAAGGCACAGATCAAGTTCTGGGCTAGAGCTGTGGCTTCTAATGTGCGCTAGGATTAATGTGTGCGCCTAAAGAAAATAACATATAACATCATGGGAATTTTTGTGATTTGTAACTTGAATAACGTACCAATTGTGTAGTCTGATTATATTGAAACTGTAACATCCAATCCATTCAAAAACCAAATTAATCCAATCATATTTTTTGTTACAAGATTTTAATTATTTGGTTAAGCCTTCAAGTTCTTGCTACTTTCAGAGACTCTGGCATTCATCCCAAATCAAATGGAACCCATACGTATTTTATATCATAACATTTGAAATGGACAGCTTGATTTGATGAGACAAGGAAAAGCAAATGCTTTTGCCTTTTAGGATGTCAACCCGTGAGTGTTCATGGAATTCTTAAAAAACAATGCTTACATGGAAAGAACAGCACTGTCTTCATTACCATCTGTTCAATTCTGAACTCATGATGATACTTTTGAGCCATCTTCTTCATGCATTGCAAGTTCAAGTAGGAACCAGAACTTGGAAGCTAATGACATTTTGGAAAGAATGTTGGTTCTTTTACAGCTTGCTTGACAGAAAACAAAGGATGTTAAGGTGTTATTCTGATCAGGGTCAGGAAATGTTCCACAATGTGATGCTAATTCTTTCGTATGGACTTTTTCCCGATGGAGACCTAAAATGGAAGAATTGATGGTCACATTACAATGAAGTATGCTCGAACAATGATGTCCATCAATTTTATTTTTCAACCATTTGAGCTACAAGCTACTTGCAAAAAAAAATATTTATGTATTAAAATGAATTTTTAAGTCGGCGTGTAAAAATCATTCTTTAAAAAAAAAGCTCAAAATCAGTTAAATCATGAACTCTTTAGCCTTTTTATTATTGTCATGATCATCTGTGTGTTTATAAAAAAAAACATTGAATAATTCTTATTTTCTTACAAATAACCAAATGGTTTTCCATTCAGGTGCTATTTGAAATGATGGCCAACAAATTTGATGGTTTACATATGCACATCAAATACACATGGTTGAAAATTGTATTCCTCTCAACATTGCTAAAAGAAAATTGCAAGGAAAAAAACAACAAATAAGAAACATACATCTGGAATAGATAACAGATATTTTCAAATATCAAATCCCACCATAATCTCAAAATGTGCAAAGAAAATCTCACCCTTCAATTTTGATTGATGAGAGAGAAAAAAAACACAGAGCAATAACTAACAACCAACCCAACCCTCAGCAACTCAGCCTTCCCTCCCTAAAAACCCTCAAATGTTGCAGACCCAACACCTTCTCTGTTCCCATTTCCCTATCTGTCTCTCTCCTCCCCAAACCCACTTTCTCTTTCCCCCAAATCTCTCATCTTCTCCTCTCAATTTTCTCTACAAACCCATAAGTCTCTGCTCTGTCTCAGCCCATTCTAGGCCCAGACCCGAACAATGGCTAGCCGAAGCTCCAGAACCCACAACGAGTATTCCTACAGCTCCATACACTCCCTTAGAATTCGCCCCAGAGGGTCCCGAAGAATTGCCACCATCTTCCTCTCCAGTATTTGCTACCACAGATGACCCTTCTTCTATCCAAGTAGCTACCAGTGTTCTTCTCACTGGAGCCATTTGTGTCTTCCTGTTTCGCTCTCTTCGACGTCGTGCAAGGCGTGCTAAAGAGCTGGTAAAGATTATAGCTTTCTTTTCATTTATGTGTACAAATTACTATTTTTTGTGTGTTATTATGCTAAAGTTTGGAATTTTAGGAACTGGGTTTTGGTAGGAATTCCCTTTTATTATCAATTGTAAGTTTTTTGTGTGTTCGTGATTACATTGGGTAACTGGGTGTTGCTGTTTTAATTTGAGTGCCACTTCTTTATGCATTGTTAAGCTTGAATTCAATTTGTTGTGAGCTGTACTCTGACATGAATAGGATAATTCCACATTTCAACTGATTTATATCCCATTTTGGGGTTTGGGGAATTTTATATTTTTTTTTGGATTCTGTTAATTGTGATACTAAAATTTAATTTGCCATTGTGGTCAAATTTGGATTTTGAGGATTTGGGTCTTGACATTTTTCCATTCACTTTAATTCCAAGTATTTTATTTTGTGTGTAATTATGAGCCAATTTGTGGGATTTGATGGAGTGATTTTGGTGCCTAGAAATTTAGGTCTTCTGGAGTGAAGAAGTCGTTGAAGGAGGAGGCTTTGGATAGCTTGAAGGCATTGTCTACTGGTTCTGTTGAAGAAAAGGGTCCACCTTCACCTGTTCAGGCATTGTTGGGTGGAATATCAGCCGGTGTCATCGCACTTATTCTTTATAAGTTCACTACTACAATTGAAGCATCTCTCAACCGCCAAACAATTTCTGATAATTTTTCGGTCTGTTCCTTGATTTGCCCCATGTCCTTAACTTTTAATTAAGTTGTTCCTGATGCGTTGGTTGTGGATATATTTGTTGAAGTGATACATTTATTCTCTGTGAGCCTGCTGCTACTGTGGTAGTTTCTCCTGGTTTGCCTAAAAACTTTCAGATAAATTCTCTTGCACGTTAACGGCCTCTTGATTTATGTTGCATCATTTCTTTTGTATTGAGTTTAGCTACTATGCGCTAAGTTCACTGTTGAATAGAACAGTAGGATTAAGAATGTTAAGTTCTTAAATAATTTGAAATATGACTGGTGATAACTTGCACAATTTGAACCACAAAATGTTTTTACTTTTCGTTTCTATTGAATGTGGTGGTAGCAAAATTTTACTATGGACAGCTTTTCATTTCTATTCTTGTTGGTATGTGAACTTGGTTCACTTTCATTGACTACTGAACCTAGACTCTAATCACTGTACTTGTTTTTCTACTCTTCAGGTTCGTCAGATTACAATAACCATAAGGTAGCTCCTATTACTACTTCCTTTCAATGTTCCTTGCTTTTAAATCGATCCGGAGAATGATAACCTTTAATCTCCTGTTGTCAGGACGATTATAAATGGGTTGTGCTACCTTGCAACATTTGTTTTTGGCATCAACGCTGTTGGTTTAGTCCTTTATGCTGGTCAGCTCGCCATCAACTCCATCATGGAAGATACAAGTACAGAAACTGAGAATCAAGGTAAAGAGCAGTCAGGCTCACTGAATTCAACGGTTGAGAGCCCCCCAAATAGTGGTGTTAACAGCGGCAAGGATGACCAAAGTTCAGATGAGACACAATAGAGGAGTAGAACCGTTATTGACGCAGAGGAATAGGTTTTTTTCCATTTCCACCTCGTTCTAGGAAAATTATATTTTCAATGAAATAGATGCCATTTCAGGCTTTTGTCTTTTTGTCAATCTATGCGCACTAAATCCCTCTATGCAATTAGTAAACATGATTGTCAAATATGCAATGGCCACTGAAGCTGCTTTTAATGTTTGTGCATCTTGCATATTCATCTGGCAGAAAAGTTATAAACTAACAAGAGATGATCTAGGAGTTTCAGTCTTGGATAAAACTTTGATACTTTGCCTTCATACCTATATCATTCATTTTGACAGAAATTTGTGGAACGAATTGACAATCATTTTAGCTGCCTGCATTTCAATAGAACATGTTAACTTATCCCAAAAAAGTAAGAAAATAACAAATCAGCAGAACATGTTCAATTTGTTTATCTGTCATCAGGTCTATATTTAGAGTTTGATCAAACAAACAGTGACACTCCAAGGACCAAGTATATCTCCAGTTGCCTTGGACCTTGTCAAAAGCTAAAAGATTGGGAAAGCTTTCTGCTTCAGAAGTAGCCCAAGGTTTTGTGCTTTGCCAATCATGCAGAACTTAACGTAAAGCCAGTTGAAATTTAACCAAACTGTGGATGTCAAGATGAATGCGCTGCATCTATTGATCTTCCAAGGGTTTATATAGAGATTAGCTGAAGAAACAAATAAGCAAGCTACAAATTCAAAGGGTTTAAGTAAGAAACTAAAAATTCAAAATGATTTAAATTATTAAAACCATTAAATCAGATCATGTCAAAGTTTGCTACTAAAAAAAATGTTAGAGATGGGAATTAGCATACACAACATGTGATTTTCCAGACCTCTCTCTCTCTCTCTCTCAAGTGTTATACTCCAAAGATATTCTCCTATGCTTATTGCCTCTTAGTTTGTACTTTACATGATGCTGGTTGTTGGTTTCAACCTTGAGCTCTGCTTCCATCCATGTGAGATCTTTCATGATGTTGCTCAATAACCCTTTCTATTCTGCTGTTTTCTTCACCAATTTTCCTGAGCTCATTATGACTCTTGGCTGGTTGGAACTGATGCAACGGAGTGGAATTTGAATCAAGCCTGTGCAAAATCAACACCATAATCACTGAACAAACAAACATCGGAATTGGACCAAAAATCCAGAGGAGCAAAGTAGTGGCAAAGTAGATAGCTCTTAACCCCAGTGTCCAGAACAAGCCACCACTTATCACAGCCTTCTCCACATGAGCCAAAGGAATGTCACTGTCTGGCATGCTGATGAGGAAATTGGCATGGACAAAGTTTCTTATGCAATGTAAAAAGGAAGCCAAAGCAAGCAGGAAGCAGGCCAGAATGCTAATATATTTGATAGAAACTATGGCAGGACTTGTGTCACCATATATAATGCTACTCATGAAGATGTTGTGTGAAGAGCTCCCAATCCATGCTCCAATCAGAGAGCTCAATGCTAAAGAGGTTGAAGCTAAGAAATTCGCTGCTGTTATGGTGCCGGAAATTACTGTTAGGGACAGGCCTCTGTCCTTTGCTTCAACCTGCAATTAATTAGAGACCAATTAAATTTGAACTTGATTAGCATGCTATTAATTTATATTAATTAGAGTCTTGCTGACCTGCAACATTCTCTCAACCCAAGCTTTTCTGCAGTGGTTCTCATTGCCAATGACTGTGGTTTCTGGATGTCTTAGGCATCTGTAGAGAAGAAAGAGATGGTAGCAAAACATGATTAGCAAACCAGTTGGGACCAACACTAAATCTAAGTATTCTTTCTTCCAAACCATTCTCTCTAGTCTCTCTCTCTCTCTCTCTCTCTCTCTCTCTCTCTCAACTAAGATGAACAAACTAATTGTTGGGTTTGGTTGGTTTTTTGTCAAGATTCATAAGTTAATAATATTCTGGCTGTATAGTGGGTTTGGTTGGTTAAGTAGAGGCAATTTGGTTTTACTTTTGAATGAAGATGACCGACCTCACAATTAATCAATAATAAAAAAGATGAAGATGATCAAGATTATGACCAATAAGATGTGCACAACTTTCCAAACATGAGTCAGCAAAAACAACTTATAAATACCATGAGTGCAGTGCAGCTTTTCTTTTACAGTACTTCACCTGGAAATAGAAGTCGTTGTGAACATGTTTCAATGGTTAGGAGAGCTCGTAAGGTTACAAAGTTTGGTTCACACTTCACAGCTTTACGTACTCTTTTCGAAGTTCCAAAACTCTTCACAACAATGGGTACTATTAGACCAATCAATCAGATTTTGTCACCGCAGATTATAAAAAATGACAAAACTATGGGTTTTCAAGAGGCTGATTTGTCTCAGGCAAGAAGTAATAATAATGATTTAGATTCTACAATGTTGGCCAAAAGTTATTGTGTTCCAACTCCATAGTTATTTTCCCTTTGATCTCTTCAAGTGATATTTTCTTTTTGTTCCAACGACTGTCATTCATGAGATTTGAACTCAGGAATTTCTCCAATAAAACGAAGTGAAAATTAGGTGACTAAGAATATCAACATAGTGAAAATTAAGTGACTAGATTGTGGATCCTTAATTCAAATCTTTTGGTTTGTGAAAAATTTGAAAGTTGTATAGTTTCTCAATTGCGGTTTCCTTCTAAACTCAAGCTAGCAAATCAACGCATCTCAAGTAGGAGAATGACAAAATTTTCTATGTTTTGGGGCTCATATTTCTAAGTTTGCCTGTCAAGTTAACTGAAATTGGGCTCTTTGAACTTTATACGCAGTTGGTGACGCTGGAATGGGCTACAATAATAGGTTGCTTTTGTGCATCTTCAGTACCATGGCATAGGATTTTGTGAATTACAAGTGAATAGTCTAGTCAGGTAACCTTTGCAATTGATGAGACAATGAAAACCTGCTTGTTCTTTTCAGTCTCCCATTGTAGATGATCCTACAAAGGCAAATGTAGATGGTAGAGCCCCCACTTTTCTTTGTTTTGGCATTCATTTTTTTATATGTTAGTCCTTGTCCTTACCTTAAAAAGGCCCTCCATAGTGAAAGAAAATCTCTGTCCAGGAAAAGATGGAATCTCTGTAAAAGCTTCAAATCACTAACTTGTGCTGCTGCTTTGGAAATAGTTGAACACCCTAACAAAGACTTGATAAAATAATTATAATAATAATAAACAATATTAAATAATTCACTTTCACTAAACCATTAGAACCTTTTTCTCTTTTCATTTTTCTAGCACTTACAGATACTTAGAAACAAAAAAATATAAACTCAAGGATTGGGACAGAGCAGCATTATGGGGAATGTGACAACTTAGGCAGCTTGTTGCTGCAACTATCTTGAATTGCTGTCAATTATTTTATGCTGCCACATCTAATCAATCTAGGTAAGAAATCTGTGAAGCAATCTACTTTAATGTTTTGTTTTTGTTGCTACATTTCTCTCTGTTCTTTTTTCTTTTTCCCCTAAATTTAGCAGTTGTTTTCTTTTCTTTGAACATCTGATTGGGCATCGCAACTAATAAAGTGATTATATCAAATAAAATTCTTTTATATTAAAAAGGCAGATTATCTAGCTAAACAGGGTAGTAGGGTTAGCTAGCAAACAGCTCTTTCAGCTGACAATGGTGAAAACTGGTCAGACAGGTTGGTAGAGTAGAAGTAGCAGAATTAAAGGCACCCAGGAAGTGAGAATTGAGATTGCTGGTTGGCATTTGGATAAGGGAATGGCTTGAAAATAATTGGGATGGGTTGTGGTTGAGCTACTCCTTGATTCTTAATCTCATCTTATAAACACTTTGATATTAGATGAGATTAAAAGAAGTCTTATGGATATTAGATGATTTTTAATATCATCTACTTCGACCAAAAAAAAATAATAATCTCATCTACAAGCTATTGATATTAAATTATTTCAGGCTTATAAACAAGAGAAACTCTTACCTAACGGGATAACACAACGATACGTGGGATCATTTTTTCATATATGTTAATGGTCAGGGATAGCAAAACAATGATACTCCATTACAAGTTTGTTTTTTTTTACTTATAAACTCTTCATTGTCACCTCTCCTCCTTTCCTTGAGAAAAACTTATATATCATGAGATAACACTATTTTGTCATCCGCAATTAATCATGGTCTGTCACACATGATAATTATTCCACATGACAAAATGTGATCGGTATAAATGCTTCACATGACGGAATGTAATTAGTAGGGGATAACAAAACAGTAATATCTTTGTGATATGCAAAACTTCCCCCTCTCCCTCCCCTAAATAATATTCCTAACAAATAAATAAACTAATAAAAACAATATTTATCTGAGCACAAAGCAAGCTGGAGCTCCACTCCCCAACCAAAGTTTCTGATTTTGGCTCAGGCTCTCAAGAGTGCCTTTGCTTCTGCTACCCAATATGCAACCACACTCTGCCCTGCACTCTGCTCTAAAACCTAAATACTCCATAGCCCATGTGTTTCACCACCTTCTTACATGTGCGCACCAGAAAAAAGCAATCTTTAACTGCCATCATTTACCCTATAAAGGAGAGCAAAGCAGCTCTTTTTACAGTCTACCCACCACACAAGTGCTTGCTGCTCTGCACATACCCATACCAATACCAACTTTTACAGCATCACCATTTATTCAGAGCGTAGGAGAAAAAAGTAGAAAATAGAGGAACCCATCATTTTGTTACAGAACCCAATCTAAGGGGCAAAAACCTGTCCTGCAATTTCTGACCGTTCGATGCATCCACTTGCATTCTAACCCAAGTGAACAAGTTTTGACATGAACAGAAAAGGGAAATTGAAATCAATTATAAATAAATTTATAAGAGCAACATGAAAAAAGAATTTATAGAAAATCACTACATAAAGATGTACAAACCCACAAAAAAATAGAGCAATAATATCACTCTGAAAAAACCTAGAGTCACCCCATACATATATAATCATACAACTTCCTACATTTTTTTTTTTTTTGGGTTTTTCACAACCAAAATTAATTTCCCTCGGCTCAGTCAGACCCCGACCCCCGCCGCGCCGACTCCCATCGCCGCCCGCCTATGCGGCTCCATCTTCCTATTCTTCCAAAAACACGTATCCGCCGCCGCGAGTTTACCCGCCGACCTCATCGGCTCGGACTTGCAGCGCGTAAGCACAAACGGCTCGTAACCAGTGGACCCCACCAGCTTCTGCCCTATCATCGTGGCCATCGAAACCGGACCTGCCTGAACTGGCGACCAAGCCGCCCTCGGCGGCTGAATGACCGGCTGCGCCGCCGGAGCCGCAGCAGGATTCGAGTCGATGCTGACCCGCTTCTTGGCCTCATCTGGAGCGTCGACTTTCTTGACGTGTCGCTCCGGCAGGCATCGGATGAAGTCCGTGGTGCAGACCCAAGTCTCCTTGGACACCTCCATGGACAATTTAGGCTCGCACATCATTAACAGTAGGCAGTCCGGTAAGACCGGGTTCTGAACCGCCCGCTTCGACCCGGAATCCAATTGGTTTTTCGGGTTTTCGGATACGGGTTCGGGCCTCTCTTGGGTTACTGTCTCTGTTTCTTCCTCTGTTGATTCGTCTGCAACTTCAGCCTCTGTTTTTTCTTCTTCTTCCTCTTCTTCTAGTTCTTCTGACTTTACACACTCATTGGAAGGTATTGGAAGCTTTACTTCTCTCGCTTCCTCTTCTTTTTCTTCTTGTTGCTCGTGCTCTTGTTCTGACAATGCTTGCTGGGTTACATCCAATTCTTGTTCCTCTTCTTCCTCTAACTCTGCTTCTTGTTGGCATTCAGCCTTCTCTTCAATCTCTTCTACTTCACCATAAAGTTGCTGCCTTTTTTCTGGGTTCGCATCCAAACCTTCTTTCTCATCCTCCTCCTCTTCTAAAACCAATTTTTCTACCTCTTCCAAGTCTCCATGTTCTTCACCATCGCAAACCCATTTCTCACACACACCATCCCCTTCAGCAACCTCTGTCTCCAACCCATTTTGCACCTTCTCAAGTACTTCATCAGTACCTTGTTCTTCTACAAAGTCTTGTGCTTTTTCTGTAAGACCCTTGTCCTCTTTCTCCTCTTCATCTTCAACCTCTTCATCTTGAGGAGCAGCAGGCATCTCCCAAAATCGATTAGCAAGAGCTGCCATTTTCACTGGATCAGATCTACACCTCATGAGCAAAAGAGCATTCTTTGGAGGAACACAAATACTCACTCTCCCTGCTTCTTCTTCCTCCATTACACTCTCATTCAATCTCTCTTCCTTGAACTCAATACCTTCAAACACTTGCCTCCTCTGGCTATGGCCACTGCTACTATTAGTACTTCTCTCTGTTCTTTCTTGATCTTCACCCACCACCAACTCAATCTCTCTCCCTTTCCCATCCCCATCCCCATCTTGCAAAGCAACAAACCACCTCGCAAAGACTGCACCACAAGATGACCCTCCACTCTCTGATCTCACTCCCTTATTTTCTTCTTTCTCCTTGTTATTATTATCATCACTAGCCAAACAAGAAGACCGGTTCGGAATCAAGCAGTTAAACTCGGACCCAAAAGCCCTCAAAGCTTCACAAATCGTCAAAGGAAGATGAACCCACCTCTGGTTCCTGTGCCTCAAGCATTCCTGTTGATTATTATTATTATTGATCTGGTGATTTTGAAAGTGCAAACCTTGGAAGTTGTTGTTGCTGCTGTTGTCTCGATTGTAAAGCTCTTGACTTTGACTAGCTGTGTTGTTGGTGCTCTGCTGATTTTGCTCTGGTTTTCTGAAACTAGCCTCACTTCCCCTGCTACGCTTGGATCTACTAATTATCCTCATTTTCTTGCCCTGTTTCTTGGTCTTGACCCTGACCTGACCAATACATGTGACCTTAGGGGAAGAGGGTTCTGGGTTTTCAAAAGCGCACCCACGTTTTTTACTGGTGCCACCATTGCTAGGGAACATTGGGGAGGCTTGGCCACCCTTGATGCTTCCACTGGTTCTAAGCCTGCGGCTGAGAGAAGAGGAGAGGGAGATTTGGGAAGGCTCTCTGGCTCGGCCTGGGCTGAGAATGGACTTGGAGGAGAGCTTCATGGATGAAGAAGAGAGGCGAGAAGTAGTGAAGCAAATGAAGAGCTCGCTTGTAGTTGTGGATGTAGTGCCACTAATGCTGCTGTTGCTTTTTGTGCGATGGGGTCTGTCTGACTCCATTGTTTTTCATTGTAATTTTTACTGAGCTGTGGTTGTGGTGGTGGCCATTAGCATAAGCAGAGCAAGATTGGGGGGCTATGATTGATGAATATTTGTTTGGTTTGTATGGTGGGTTGTGCTGCAGAGAGAGAGAGAGAGAGAGAGAGAGATTTATTGGTACTGGAAGGTGACAGAATGGAGTTTGTCTTTATCAAAATGGAACTGAGTGAGTGTAAGGATCTGGTTACTTGGGCCTTGAAACTAAGTTACTGTGATACATGCGTTACAATTACATGACCATAATGCCCTTCGTCTTTGTAGATTATTACTTCGAAGGTTGGAGGAGTTTATTGTGACTTGTGAGCATGCATGGTTTGCTTGCTTTCTAGCTTTAGCCTTTTAGGTGTGGAATCTTGGTACTCAAATCTAAAAGTCAAGGAAAAGAAGGTACACGTACACCAAAGACCAGCCAAAGAGATGAAAAGGTGGGAAGAAAAGGAAATGGATGTTATTGAAAGCCACTTGCATACGAAGGAACTATGTGGTAAACCACTTTCCTTGGCATGGGAAATCATTATCTTGCACATGAAAAACAATAGGGGGATAGTGAAGCTCCCCTCATCTTTGGGTTTTGTTTTCCTCCTTATGAAAAAGTTTAGGAAAATGAGACAATATTGAATACAAATTTTTCATGACTATATTGTCCTCATTAATAATTTAGAATTATAATATAGCATTAACTGCATTATTTTTTTATTTGATTTCATATGGGTATAATTGAAAAATTAAACAAACTTTGTTTTACATTCCTATACAAACCAAACATGTGAAATGAAATAAAGTGGTATTTCTTGATTACTTCCCCAGGATTACTAAACATGGGAAGGGAATCTCCATTTCTCATCCTTAAGGAAATGATATAGGAAGTGATTTTCCCTCAAATCAATTCTATGAACCAAAACGGGGCATAGTTTTGAAAGGAAGGTGATGAGCTATATTTTACCATCACTAGCAGTATAAGGTTAAATCATAGCCCCTTAATATTTTATGGTTTTTAATATATTCTTTAAATATATTGAATAATTTAATTAAAGTATTATTTTAGACCCTATTTAAAATTTATTTTAGAAGAGAAAAATATTTTCGGATTGGATATGATTAATTTAAAAACAACAACTAGCTCACCCAAGAAGCAGGCCATATTTGGTATGCTGACTGGGTTTGGCCCAGTGACATGGCACTTGTAGCCCATTTGCTGGAGATGAGTTTTGAGTTTGGAAATGGCCTAAGCATCTTATTGAAAAGCCACATTACTCATTTACTTTTTATAAGCCTAAGAGATCTATGGTATTAGTTTGATGAGGAGGCACACCCATTCATAGTTTTTGATATCATGAAAAAAGTTGACGTTTCAGTTCAAAATAAATTGACAATAGGAGAGCACTCCAAATACATTTTGAGATTTATTTCTAAACGCTTTCAAAAACGTTTTGAGTTGTTAGAAAGCGATTTTAACCTTTCTAACAACAGTATAAACACGTACTTAATAATCAATGTGCATGATTGCAACTAGGTATCGCATATAATGGGGACTTTGGACATGTTACTTTCATGAGATGGCGTAGTGTGTGTGATGTGAACTATGGGTCCTCAAGCAACGTGGGAAGATAATGATAAGCAAAAGCAATAACAATAATAAAAAAGACAAGAGTGACAAATGAGTGTGTCTTTGGAAATATCAAATCCACCATTTTCACCATCTGCGTAAGTCTAGAAGAAGCACTTTCTCGACTATTTTTCACACCATCGCTATTTTCACTGGCCGTTTTCTTCCCCTCCTCGGCAGCTAAATGACAAGGATGCAGTGGCAATTTTGTTATTCAACGCCAAAAAGGTGGGCCTTTTCGGGCATGGAGATCACATGGAGGGGTCGACGGGGACGACGTGAAAAACAGAGAAGAATCCAAAGGACGCACGTGACCAGACCCCGAGATAAAACGACTAGATTAGATTACCATCATCATCATGCTTCATTAGCTTATCAACGGTCATGATCGCATGGTCATATCATGACGTTGGAAGATTTGTTGACCAACGCGCTACGGTGGGGAGTGCGAAGCAGTTTGGTATCTGTACGGTCTGTACTAGGGTTAATTACTTCACGCTCGTTGGATGGGAGAGTGGGGGTGGGTTCTGAAAGGCTCTGCGTTCAATGTACTATAGTCGCACGCTTCACATAGAGAACCGCAAATAAGCAGCGCGTGAGGGGAGATAAGATTAATAAGAGAGGCGTTATTGAGGGAGGGAAGTACCCCAATGTAATACCCTCCTAGCTCAAATAGTTACTTGCCATGTCAATAAAACTTAAAAGTAAGAGTCATTATCAATTTTCAGATAAATTATAGTTTTTTTTAGGTGAACAAAAATTAAGGGGAAACACCTTTAAGCCTTAACCACAACCCAGACTAATCCCCGTTCACACCGGGTCGGCCCGTAAGGAGTAAAGTGCTGGCCAAAGTGGTGACTCCATACGAGAGCAGGGATCGAACCCCTGACCTCTCTTAAGGAATGAGAGTGCCGAACCACTCACACCAACCACCTTGGTTGAAATCGGCTACTTTTACTAAAGCGTCAAGGCATATTCACAACTTTGAACCCAAAGAACTTATGCGTGACACCTAATTGCCAGCTGCAATCGGTATGGATTTATGTAGGAAATTACATATCGCACACCAACGAGGACTGCTGGCAATGGCACTCGAACATTAGTGGAGCTACACATATATAAGAACCTTACCAACTAAACTAACCCTCGTTAGCAGATAAATCATAATTCGATATGTGTGTATAATTATTATTTTTTTTGTAATTTTAATGATTATTTTTGCATATGTTTCATATTGTAAGTGGTCTATGAGTATGAATAACTCGTTGAGCAATGTCTCAATCCAAACTAATCTATATTGAAATAGCTAGTTACACTATATTCGGAATAAATTTAAAATAATTATATACAAGGAACCACCGTTTGAAATTAATTTGTTTTTTTTTTTTCATTTCTTTTTTATATTTAGATTGTAGTAGTAGCATAAACAAACAATTTAACTTTACACATTGTATGACAAAGGATAAAGGGCCTCAACATCACAATTTTAAAATATGAGTTTGATTTGGTTTTAAAGAAAACATATGTCCCAAAAAAATTAAACACCGCTGCTTCTCCCAAAATACTATTCGTCTTTGTTTTCTTGTAATAAAAAATAATTATATAATAATAATAAAAAACCCGGAACAAACACAAACCATCAAACATTGTGTTAGTGTTTTTTCCTATTTTTTGTGGGTTAACATGGCATGTGCCTCTTGGATGATTATCAATATGACAACATAGTGCCTTCAACAGACAATTGCTGCAAACAATTTAATACCAAGCCAAGCTGCTAAAGCGCCGATAACGTAATGGCATGTGAAAAAGTTATTTTACGTGTTATTATTATGGGAGTTTCTCTCACACAATAAAAAAAAGCAGAACAAAGCAAAGCATGACAGATGATGTGGAAAATAATAAATGGGTCAAGGTTTCTTGAAATAGGGGGGGTTTGGTTTGACCAACATTTACACCAGAAGCAGACAAAACAAGTATCAAAAGCAGATTACTAGTTTAATTTTTAATACAGAAGAATTTTGTTGGCTGTTTAAATTAATCCCAGAAGTCAGGTGATGCCAACTGTTAATGTAGCATAAAGGTTTGGTTCTAAGTGTTTTTTTAATACATGTTGGACCAAAGATTATAAATTAGCATGTTGCTCTGTTATCTGGATGTCACATACCTTCAAATTTCAATAAGAGATCAGGTTGTCCATGGCTCCCTCAGTCAGCCCTATGGAAATAGGTCATGCATGCCTTTTTACCTCACTACTATTTGACTCACCCATGCTACAGTTTTAATTATCCTTACTTCTGTCATAATTAATTTTCTGGTGGTAAAAAGTGAACAAATAAATCATAATCGTCAACGGATCTAACCCAATTATTTAAACTATTGCTTGTAGTTTAGATTATTGTTTGATAGTGTGTGTGTGAGAAACTTCCCTCTCTTTATAGTTTATATACTATCGTTTATATTGAGAAAAAAGTCACAATTTAACATTTTCATTGAGGTGGTTACTAATTGACAGAAAAGCAACATATAACATTTCTAAGTTTTGGTCAACTACATTGATGGAAATGTGACTTTAGACCCAATTGCAAAAGCTAAAGTATACTTGTATTGAAAACTATGAGAATCAAAGTCGAATTCAGTCCAAACTACACGAATCAAGTAAGTAATATGATTTTATAACCAATTGCAATAGTTAATTTTTCATCATGTGATGAATGTGAAAGGATTGAGGAAATAGATATACACCCCGTTGCAGGTAAGTTTTTCTCCTAATTATTAGCATATTTATACAGGGAAGGAGAGTAACAAAAAGTCTAAAACATCATTCACTAAAACCTTGCCGACTTGTGCTCTTCTAGTGCCGGGGATTGCCGGAACCTGATGAGATCTAGCCAGCTTCTTCTCTGGACAAGTTGCTCCATCTCTTGCAGTTTGGCCTTTAGACATTGCACTTCTTTTTCTAAATCTGTGCCTTTTTGCTTCATTGCCTGCATTTTGAAATGTAAAAAATACTAATTACTAAAATGCTAGGGCTGTATAGCTACTTGTATTTAAATCATTGAACTAGATCTTTTGTACTTGAATTTACCTCTATTTCTTGCTTGCGCTGTTCCTCCTTTCTAGCTTCTGATCTAGCACTTCTTTGCACCTCAAAGATTATAGCAAGTCCTGCAACCTAAGCAAACAACGCAGCTATAACTTCAAGTGGCCTATAATATATCAACAAAGGAAGGAGAGATATCAACAAAGATATTAATGCTGCAAAAGATGAGAGTCAAGTCAACCAAAAATTTTCTATTTGACTTTCCTCTGCAGACCATGAACTTCCAGCAATTGCATAGGGTTTCCTCAAAAGTAATGCAACACTCTGCAGCCTAGTGAGACAAGGTTAAAGACATGCAATACGGCAGCCGGTGGTTACCGTGAAGATAACAAGTTCCCCAAGAAGCTCTGCAGCAGCTCCAACAGCTTTTTCTTCATCCATAGGACGGATCACAACATCTGTTGCCCGTCCATATAGACGTCTTTGTATATTTGTTCTGAAACGATAGTTTGCCTGATTCAAGTAGCAGGGTTACTATGTAGTACATCACTTAAAACCAAATAGTTTGGATCGATGTTCAACGAGCAAGTTGTATGCATCATTGAAGACCAACTTAATGAAAAGGACTTGGTTTACATCTCACCCCATTCTGAAAAATCTCATTCTTATTTTGCTTTTAGATCATTCTTCCATATCAAATGATCTTGACAAAATATTAATTTGATGTGTTTGACAAAAGTTCCCAACCAACCCCTTAACACTGGCAAATATGGATGTCCATGGCAATTCAGTAATCTTGTGAGGAACCAAAGGAGAACAAGAAAACCCAATTGAATAATCAAACTTTTAGCAAAAATAGCATTCATAAATAATCAAAATCTACACACAAAGAAAAAATAATAATTACATTACAAGAAAGAGAAAAGGGGCTGCAAGTGAATTTGAGAGAGAGAGAGAGAGAGAGAGAGAGAGTAAACCTGGGCAAAGCTGATGATGTAGTCACGAAACCTGGGGTGTAAGCCAGCCTCTACTTTGAGCCTTCTAGCAATTGGCCTGGAAATAGTTCGTAAGGCTAGTGTTCCAAGCTTTAACAATGGAAGCATTCTCTCTCTTTCTGTGATTGAAATACGTAGCTGTATTATGGTGTGCACGTACAAGAATATTGGGTCGTGTAAAAGCTTTTGGTTCTTGTCGAGCAAGAAAACTTACAAGATGTACTCGAGATTAGAACAAACAGGGGAGAGATGGTGGCTACTTCTTTGGCAAGTCAGTATGCAAATAATTTAGGATAAGAAATAACTTTTTTCCTACCTACTCAATTGTATTTTTTTTCTTTACCTAAACCTCGGATAGCTG